ATGATCAAATTTTAGATCCTCCTACCTATGATGAATGGCTTCTAATTATCAAACATTTGCCTAATGATAAAGCTCCTGGCCCTTCTAACATTTCTAATGAGTTTTTAAAGAAAATGGGACCTTTAGCGAAAAAATTTTTGTATTATATAATATGTGTGTGTTTCCAATCCAGTCTCACCCCTAAGCAGTGGAACTTAGCTCACGTATATCCGATATCTAAGCCAAAACTATAGAACTGTGATCTCAATAATACACGATCTATCACCTTACTCGAAATTGTTTGTAAAGCTTTTACAAAAATTATTAACGCACAGCTACAAAAGATTCTTATTGCTAACAAAGCTTTATTCAGATTGAACTTTGCAGGCTTACTGTATCAATCTACTTTGGAACCCCTACACATTATTAATAATCTGCTCGAATACCTCGTCTACAGAAAAGTTCAGAAATATCCTATAAACAAGACCTCTATATCCTGTTTCAAGACATGTTCAAAGCCTACGATAGAGTTAACATTTTTATGCTTGAAAAAGCTTTGGCCCGTTTGAAATTTCCAAAAACTTTGATTAATTTGATTACAGGACTCTTTCTTAACTGTTCCAATCAAATTTTTACTAACTTTAGTCTTACTGATCCTTATGATGTTCTAGTCAGCATCGACCAAGGCAAAGTTATTTCTTCTCTTTTGTAGGTCATATATTATGATCCTCTATTTGATCGCATTAAAAAATCTGAACTCAGATTTAAATTGTCCACAATATGAAACCCTGATCTCGACATTCCTGAAACTGAATCTCTTAATGTCACTATCCCTATTCTAGCCTACATGAATGATACTATTTGGGTTGCTGACAGTTATGACCAAATGTCTAGCATTCTCAACATAGCTCAAACATTTTACGAGTTGAACTCAATGAAAGTCAATTTTGATAAATCTCATCTGATTACTGATAATAATCACACTGAATCAATTATCTTTCGTAACTCCCATGATAATTCATCCTTTGAATGCAAAAATATCTCATCCAGGGACTCGACCCAATATCTTGATATATGGATCTCTACTCAATATAACAAGAAGTTTATTAAACACCAAATTTCCTCAGAAATTGCTTCTTTCAGAGATAAACTCAGATTCAAATCATTAACTGACAAACAATTGCGTTACTTAAACAACATAGTTCTCATTCCTCATTTGGAATACAGATCGAGACTCACTATACTTTCTGAACTCAAAAGTGACTTTCTCTATAAACCTATGCGAAGGCTTATTAAACATAAATTAGGACTCAGGCTCAGCACTCCTAATTCGATTCTTCATAACAAACTAGCCTATGGATTTAACGATCTAGCAGCTGTGTCTCAAACTTCCAAAATACAACAGTTTATTAATATCGTTAATTCCTCAGTCAACAATTCTATTTTAGGTCTAACAACCATCATACGTCTCAAACAACTCCAACAACATTTTTGGTTATACAATAACCCTCTAGTCTGTTGGCCCTCATCTCTCAAACATTATCGATATACTAATTTTCTCTCCAATTTTTTTCACTATTTACTATGAATCTGATTTTTCGTTTATTAGTTCCTCAAGAATGATAAAACTTTTCTAAATCAAAGATAGATTAATCCCCCCAAACTATCATGCCTTGGTATTCTAAAGACATACATAATATTCATTCAAAAAACATCCTTTTCCTTTCTCAGATCGTTGCCACAGGCAAATTTCTCTTTAACTATCATGACATTTAACTCAGATCTTATTCTTCAACAAATTTCAACGATGTTACTCCATGTTGGTTTAAAGTTTAATAAAAATAGTTCTAGCTAATCCAGTTCACTCTAACCGTCTTAAACCAGAATTCTGTTTCGAAACTTAAGTATTCAATGATTACAACACTTCTTCATCTATTGCTGATTTTCAATGGAACACTGGCTGGGCCAATCTATAGATCCCTCCCGAATATGACATATACAAGTTCCTGACTCCAGGCTCACCAATATTTGGAAAAGTTTTCAAACTCATTTCTCCTACTCCACCTTATCTTTTTCAGCACTTCATTTTGTCGAACCCTACCAATGATCCTCATTCACTATCAAAGAGGTCTGATGTGCTCATTTCTTGTACCAGTTGCTCTTTTAACAAAAACCGAAAACACTTTAAAATTAAACCAAAGTTTAAAAAGCTGCCCTGTGCTAATTTTGTGAATCCATTATTACCAAATCCTATTTCTAAATCTCCTTTGCTTCTAAATAATGGAAAAAATCTTTATGTTCCTAAAAGATCATTATGCCGATTATGAATCAAGCTGTTGCTAGATTCTGTTCTATACATACTCAGTCCATCCCAAACATTTTGCCTGACAACCTTAGTTTAGATTTGAATATTTTAACTATAGAAAGTTTTTTTACTTCAACAGATTGCATTACTACACTTAACAATTTTAGAATTAACTTATTTTTTGAACAACAATTAGAATTTTATACTGATAGTTCTCATCTGTTTTTACCTTCTCCTTTACAGACCCATATTAGTTCTGCTTTTTTATTAGTTTACGATACTTTAGATATTAGTTTTGCTGCTGCTTTGCCTCCTCTTTAGGCTAATTCTACTAATGCTGAAATTTTTGCTCTCTTAATAACTCTTTTTATATATTCTTTTGGCTCGTTTGTTAAAATTCATACTTATAGTCTTTTCATAATCCTTTCATATAATTATTTACTACAACAATGTTTGTTCTTACCCCTCGTTGCTTTTCAAAACCCCATTTTACATACACTGGTGTTTTATCTTCAAGCTCATTGAACAAAAACAATTAACTTTATCCTTGGTAAAAGTTAGAGCACACTCTGGAAATCCTTCTAATGAAAAAGTAGACCATTTGGCTAAATCCGTTCTAACTGATTCTCCTACCTCTTTCTCCTTCTCATGTGTTTCTTATCTTTCTCTTATCCCTACCTTTCATTCATATCCTATCAACAAAAAAATACAACCCTTTTTTAAAGACTTCATCAACTCTAAATCTTTCTGTGACTTTTATAATCTTTAAAGAAATAACCATTATAAAAATAAGCCTGTTAATTGGCTCTGCACTTTTAATCTTATCAATTACGACTTGAACAATCAAACTTCTTATAAAGAATCATACTACCATAAACGAAGATACCAACTCCTTTTGAACAAATGCCCACTGTGGAATTTCTTAAGCTCACTTTACCTGATCTTTATGATTCTTCTTGGAAATGCTGTCATTGCAATACCACAGTTGAAACATTCACACATATCTGGACTTGCACAGAGGTTCAATCCACCGTTATTGATATCGTCACTACCAGTATCCAAACTCTCAAAAATCATCTTTTTATCGACACTTCCTCTAATAAATGGTCACCTGAACTACAACAAATTCTCAACCCATCTCATCCTTACTGGTCTTTTCTTTAACCATCCAATTCCCCTTTCACTTTTATCGACTTTATCAAAGGAATCGTATCTTCCCAATTTTATCTTCTCATCAATAATTTCACCAATTGTAAAACCAAAACCCTTGCTATTCTTTCTGCTTTTTATGATCATCTTATTGAACAATCTATTATCTGAATATGGAAACCCAGATGTACTTTAACAGTTGAAAAGGAGTTATCCTTCAACATCATAAACAAAAAAAAGAAAATGACATCATGTAGCTCGAAACAGACTCCTATACCACACTCATCTCCCAATTTTGATAATAATATAAATCATTTACAAACTTTTACTAACTCTTTTATTCACAGTAGATCTTGAACTCTTTTTAGTGCAGTGAAAACTAGTTGTCTCAAATGATTTCCCCTACTGTCATGTGTTGACATTTTTTCTCTTCGCAGTTAATTTTGAGCGTGACAAGACAATCAGTTGGTTTGGTTGGAATTGGTTACTCCCTTCGAGGAAGGCTAAGCAGCTTTTATTTTATTTTTTCTACTTTTGTATCCTCTTCTGGGATTTTCTTTTTATTTTGTAATTTAAATTTGAATTTTCAATTAATAAAGGCTTCACCGCGTCTAAAAAATAAATAAATAAATAAATCAATTATTAAAGGGAATCAGCATCTCTAGCTCAGTGGTTAAACCGCGAGTCTCCTATTAAGCTAAAGTTTCATTATATAGCAATAGGCCATCAGTTCAAGTATCGACCGATATATAAAACTAGATGATTTTCATAAGAATTTCATATGTACTGAATATGAATAACGTATGTACTAACATGCGTACAAATCTGGTTGATTAATCTATCGATCAATGTTGATCATGCCTAAATACTGCATGGCATAAGAACAAATAGATGCAAATGAAGCCTGAGATCAACAGAAACTTGGCCTTCGCTGATTGGTCTGTAATGAATACAGTTTTACGTCTTACACAGCAGGGGCCCTTATTTCCATATATGATTATAAGATTGTATATAAATTAAGAAAGTGATTGACCAGAACTTAGTAGATTAGATCAACGGTGATAATAAACTGCATTGTACGCTCACAGCATCGTCTAATCGAACTATCACTAGGGTTAGAGGTCAACTGGAGATCACCATTTGGGCAAATCTTGTGGTACTATCCCATGAACCCTATGGCTCTCTATATAGTTGTAATAATGCCAAACCAAGTAATTAGATGTTGGTTATAGTTCACTAAGATCATGGTAAGCATAGTGATGGATGTTTACTATGGCTGAGATGAACCCTCTATCCAAATTTAACAGTACCTTTGATGCTAAGTACCTAATACCGGATTACAACAAGAGATTCGAGTTGATGGATTAGGATGTCATGCTTAGATAGGCACATCGAAAGGGATGCATTCGACATGGTAGATAGTTTGATAATTACAAGGGAAATACCTGATATTAATTGGCCGGCACGTCACCATTAATAGTGTCTAATACTTACTTCAGTATATGCTAGGCTTAAGTATTAAGGTTGGTCTTTTGAAGTCACAGCACCAAAAAAAATAAATCAATTATTAAAAACTCTTTTCTAAACTACCAAAAAACAAACGAAAAAGATCTACATAAAGAAAAATAATGCCTGTTACTCGCTTGACTCTTAAATAAAAACAAAACCAATGAACTAACAATATAAACAAACGAAATAACTCTACTAATGAAAGTGAAACCTCTGGTTCTACTTCTCAAATTTCAGAAAATAATGAAGATATAAAAACAAAAAACTTCTCTCCTACCAAACGATCATAATACTAACACAAATATCCACAACATTATCAAAAACATAGTACTTGGCAACGAAACTCTCCCTATTATGACTCCTACACCTTTAAACAACTTTTCAGAAACTCTCCTACCAGCTGATATGAATGTTGACTCATTCTCTAATCCCATTTTTAACTCTTCTCCTATATCAACACTGAAACTCACTACAAATGACTCACGGCACGCTATTTGTCTAAAGTATAGCGAAGGACAACCCATTACTAGCCAATTTACATGCAATATAGTTCTGTCCTGCATATACCAATATCCAATTATATTTTGTATTACTATTATCACATGTGCATATGTGATTAATTTAATTTACATTTGTTTTATAATCTCACCAATTTACATCACCGATTAATTGCTGCGCATAGCGAAGGTCTCCTTTTCACCATTAATGATAATAATCTTTTGGGTATTTCTACCAAACATAGACTCAAACAACTCCAACAAAAAGAATGGTTAGCTAGCTCTCCGCTATTATGTTGGCCTTACACTACCCCTTTAAAAGATTCAGATTGGTTAGCTAATGTTTTATGTGAATGGAACAAATCCGTAATCACAGTTCAAGTACCAACAACTTTTCATAACATCATCAAAGGAGGAAATATTCCATTACACACAGTATTTCCCGAATGATACAAAGAATTTGCTGCTGATCTAAGAAAATATTCATTACTGTTCTTGGAACAGCTTTTCTATTCGCATGGTCGATCTATGCTGACCTCTCAGTATACCGAAATACCCCACACATAGGAAAAATACCAGTGTGGTTCACAAAGCTACAAAAATTACTCTCAAATCCTGTTTCAAGTGAATTAAGTCAAAAGGTTCCACATTTGAAAGAATGTTATTTTGATTTCGAACAACCAAACAAAATTCCTGGCAAACAATCTTTTATTGTGGGTTGGAATTTGGGCAATAATCAACCTATTATTGGAAAACTTCGACAGTC